ATCTTGGCTAATGTAGTGATGATGTGCCTTGGTGTGTTCCTTCTTCAGTCCAACTTCTTTGGGACTCTCTGAGCTTCCTGGACTTCCTGGAAGTCTATTTCCTTTGCCAGATTGGGGAAGTTCTCCTTTATTATTTGTTCAAATAAGTTTTCCACTCATGGCTGTTCTTCTTCCCCTGTGGTACCCCTATAATTCGGGATGTTGGAACGTTTAAAGATGTCCTGGAGGTTCCTAAGCCTCTCCTCCTTTTTTTGAATTCTTGTTTCTTCATCCTTTTCTGTTTGGTCATTTTTTTCCTCCTTCTGGTCTACTCCTTTGATTTGAGTTCCAGTTTCCTTTCCATTACTATTGGTTTCCTGTGCACTTCCATTCATTTCCATTAGTTTAGCCTTTATTTGTTCCTCTAATTTGTGACTAAAATCACCCAGTTCTGTGAGCATCCTGATCACCAGTGTTTTGAACTGTGCATCTGAAAGTTTGGCTATTTCTTCATCACTTAGATTTATTGGCTCTGGGGCTCTGAGTTGTTCTTGAGCCATGTTTTGATCTGTTTGTGCCTCTTGTGTATGAGGAGCAGAGTCTTAGATGTTCACCAGGGCAGGGCCGCCCAGGTGGCTGGGTTGTGATGCTGTATGTGGGGGCAGGGTCAGAGAGGGACAATAGCAGTCCCCTCTGCCGCTTCCATCTCAGACAGGGGCCTGTGTTCTGTCTCACTGCTTGCTCCTTCACCAGTTTATCTGTGCATGAATGTGTGACCGCAATCAGCCCTCAGTGAGTCCACTACCTTGCACCCTCAGTGAGTCTGTCTGCTACTCCACACCTGGGATCCGCTCAGGGCTGCTGGTGCACTTGGGTCGCACACCCAGGTCGGTCTGGTGGATCTTTCCTGCCTGACCCCACTCTGCTGCTGGCTCTGCCCCTCTTACTGGTTTGGCTGAAGGGTTCATTGTTGTCAGACTTCCATGTAGTTCAATTTTCTGTGGTTTGGCTGCATTTTTGTTGCTAAAACTTTGTTGTTTGTAAACTTGGTTGTGCGAGAAGGTGCAGTGCTTCCACCTGCACCTCCATCTTGGCGGAAGTCCTCCATGTTTGACATTCTTATTTCCTGAAGTTAAGAGTCCTCACTCACTCTATATTGCTCCATGGGCATGGACTACCATGAAGTCATATTTGGAGTCGGTGTATATGTTAACCTCCTTTCCTTGGGATAGTATTAAGGCCCTTGTGAAGGCTATCAATTGAGGCTTTTGTATAGAGGTTTCCAGTGCAAAGGCTTGGGCTTCTATTACCTTGTTTGTGGTGACTATAGCACACTCAGTTCATCACTGCTTCCACGTGTATGCAGTTCCCATTCTGGTTCCACCAATGTTTGGTCCATCAGACCTGCTAGAATAAACTAGGCCTGCTAGAATAAACTAGGTCAATAATTTCCAATCACTCATGCTGGAGGACTGAGTCCTCCTTCATATCTGGGAGTAGGGTGGACGGGTTCAGCGTTGTGGTGGTCTGCAGGGTAGCATTCAGGTTGTTCAGCAGAATGGCCTGGTATTTCCCCATATGCCCTGCTGTCAGCCAATACCCTCCTTTCTGTTCTAATAGAGTCAGAACCTGGTATGGTACCAATACTGTGGTGGGCTTTCCCAAACTAAACTCAGCTTCCTGTAAGACGTTACAGGTAGCTGCTACCACTCAGAGGCTTGGTGGCTACCCCTTTGTTGTGTGATCCAGCTTCCTTAGGAGATAAGCTCTGGGTCAGGGAATATTTCCCAGAGTCTGGGTTAGAACACCCAGTCCAATCCCCTGACTTTCATGAACATACAATTTGAAAGGTTTCTGTAAATTGGGCAATCATAGTGCAGGAGCTGAAACTAGCTTTTCCTTCAAGGTATCAAATGCTACCTGACAATCCCCTGTCCATTTGAAGGGTTCAGAGTCCAGTCCCTTCAAGGAATCATACAGTGGTTTTGCTATATGTCCAAAGCTTGGAATCTGAATTTGGCAGAACCTTGTAATTCCTAAGAACCCATGACTGGCCTTCAATTCTCTGGGATTTTAATATGGCAATGGCTTGCTTTCTATCTGCAATCAAACTCTTGCTACCATGTTTCAGTTGAAATCGCAGGTATGTCACTTCTTGCTTGCAAATCTAGGCCTATGAGATGATACCTTACATCCCCTTTTTGCTAAATGATTTATGACTGTGATGGCGTTGTGCAAACAGTTCTTATAGGCGCTGCTGGCTATTAATATGTCTTCTACATATTGCAAAGGAACTCCTGATTTCAACTGAACATCCCTTAGGTCTTTTGCCAGCACTTCCCCACATATAGTAGGAGAGTTCTTAAATCCTTGTGGCAGTATGGTGAAGCAGTATTGGAGTGTGGTTTAATTTCTGGGTTCTGCCATTCAAAGGCAAACTGTAGCTGAGCCTGTTCATCTATTGGGGTGCAGAATACGTATTCTTTCAGTCTAGGACTGAAAATCTTATGCTACCCACAGGCACCATAGTCAATAGAGTGTAGGTCTTGAGTGCTGTGGGATGAATATCCTGAACAATGTCTTGTATGGCCCTAAGATTCTGTACAAACCAGTACTAGTCAGAGTGGGGCTTTTTGACTGGCAGAAAAGGAATGTCATAGGGTGACTGGCATTGCCGAATTAGTCATGATTTTAAAACTTCAGTACTGGCTGGATCCCCTCTAAAGTCTCCTCCTTGAGGGGGTACTGTTTTTGCGGGACCCACATGCCTTTTTTTAGATTAAATTTTACGAGTTACACGTTAACCACGTTAACTGGGGTTCAATCAGCCCAAATAGTTCATGCTCATACATCTCAGGTGGAAAGAGTTCGCCTCTGTGGCTTCTAGACAGGTTAGAAATGCCCGTAGTGGGAGCATATGTTCCAGCAGGACTTCACACATAATTGCTGTTTCTTGGGAGAAAAAGTTATTTGTACATTCAATTTACAGAATAAATCTCAGCCCCACAATGGAATAGGGCAATCTGACATGCAGGGAAAACTGTGCATATGCTTCTGATATCCAAGTTGGCCTTTTGTGGTTCCATATAAATTTTTGAACTATTTGTTCTAGTTCTGTGAAATACATCATTGGAATCTTGATAGCAATTGCACACGTTCAATGCAATTTGATTGCTTTGTGCAGTATGGACTTTTTAATGATGTTAATTCTTCCTATACATGAACACAGTATGTGCTTCCGCTTATTTGTGTCTTCTTCAATGTCTTATAATTTTTTGAGCACAGGTTTTTTACATGCTTTGTTAGATTTATTCCTAGGTTTTTTATTCTTCTTGAGATGATTATAAATGGGACTGTTTTCTTAATTTCCCTTTTGGTTAGTGCATTATTTACATATAAAAATGCAACTGATTTCTGCCTGTTAATTTTGTATCCTGCCACTTTGCTGAATTTATCAGTTTTAATAGTGTCTTGGTGGAATCTTTGGGGTTCTCTATGTACAGTACCATGTCATCTGCAGATAAAAACAGTTTTACTACTTTTTTTTCCAATCTGGATGCTTTTATTTCTTCTTCTTGTTGGATTACTGTGGCTAGGACTTCCAGTGCTATGTTGAATAAGAGAGGTGAAAGCGGACATCCCTGTCTTGTTCTCAATCTGAAGGGGTATGCTTGTATTTTTTGCTTGTTGAGTATGCTGTTGGGAGTGGGTTTATCATACATGGCCTTTATTATGTTTAGGTATGTTCCTTTTATTCCCACTTTGCTGAGAGTTTTTATCATAAATATTAATGGATTTTATCATACATTTATATGACCATGTGGTTTTTATCCTTCATTTTTTTAATGTGGTGAATTACATTTATTGATTTGTGAATGTTGTACCAAATTTGCATTCTGGAATAAAACCCACTTGATCATGGTGTATGATCTTTTTGATACATTGCTGTGTTTGGTTTGCTAATAATTTTTTGAAAATTTTAGCCTCTATGTCTATCAGAGAAGTGTTAGTTCTTCTTGGCATGTTTGGTAAAATTCACCTGTGAAGCCATGCAGTTCAGGGGTTTTTGTTGGGAGTTTTTTGATTTCTGCCTCAATTTCACTAGGTGTAATCTGTCTATTCAAATTCTCTGATTCTTTCTGATTTAGTTTTGAAAGATTGTATGTTTCTAGGAGTTTATCCATTTCGTTCAGGTTATCCAGTCTGTTGGCAATAGCTGTTAATATTTTCCTTCAATCCTCTGTAGTTCTTTGGTGTCAGTTGTTATTTCTCCTCTATCATTTCTGAGTTATTTATTTGCCCTGTTTTTTTCTTGACAAATCTGGTTAAAGGCTTGCTAATCTTGTTTACATTTTCAAAGAACCAGCTCTTGGACTCAATGATCTTTTGTATCATTTTTTTAGATTCTATTTTGTTTATTTCTGTTTTGATCTTTATTATTTCCTTTCTTCTACTCAATCTGGGCTTTGTTTGTTGTTCTATTTCAAGCTCTTTTAAGTGTAAAATTAAATTGTTTACTTGATCTTTTCTTTCTTTCTTTTTTAAAAATGAGACAGGCCTGTAATGCCACAAGTGTCACTCTTAGGACTGTTTTTTCTGTGTCCCACAGATTCTGGCTTATTGTGTTCTCATTTTCTTTTGTTTTAAGGTATACTTTATTTATTCCTTGATTTTATTGTTGACCCATTCATTGTTTAATAACATGTTGTTAGGCCCGGAATTAGATAAAAGTAGCCAAAAGGAACCCGAGGCAGGCTCCAGACTGTCTCAGCAAGGAAGATAGAAAGTACAAAAAGTACAAAGAGTGCTGAACAAGATAAACTGCCTTGTGCATGACCTTGTCTTTGCAGAAATGTATCCATTGTTGCAAGCAGAGAACATAGCCATGTGTGTTCTCTCGAGATAGCCAATTGCTAACAGCTACGGCTGCTTCTGTATTTGCTTGCTTGCTCGCCCCAGTAAAAACCCCAGGCTGTAAGCACCAGGCGTGACTCTCATCTGCAGCCATTTTGGCACCGTGTCCTCGGACACCCCGAGAGTTTGCCCCTGCACAGGTAAAACTCTGAAACTTTGGCCAATAAAGTTTCATCTTAAACTCCTGAAAGCTTCCGACATTTTTGCTCGCATTGGGGTATGTTACAATGTTACTTAGCTTCCATGTCCTTGTGTGTTTTTCATTGTTCTTGTGATTTATTTCTGTATTCATAGCAATGTGGTCAGAGAAGATGCTTAATATGATTTCAAACTTCTTAAATTTATTGAGACTTGTTTTGTGTCCTAACAGGTGGTCTCTCCTAGAAAACATTCTACGTGCACTTGAAAAGTATGTATGTCCTGCTTTTGGGGAGTGAAATGCCTTAAAGATATCAATTAAATCCATTTGATCTAGTGTGTCATTTTAGGGAGCTGTTTCCTGGTTGATAATCTGCCTGGAAGATCTATGCTTTGAAGTCAATGGGGTGTTGAAATCTCCAACTGTGATTGTATTTCTGTCACTCTCTCCCTTTATGTGCATCAAGATTGCTTTACATATTTAGTTGCTCCTGTGTTGGGTGCATAAATGTTTACTAGGGTTATGTCCTTTTGCTTAATTGTTTCCTTACTTCATTATGTGGTGTCCTTCTTTGTCTCTTACAATAGCCTTGGTTTTAAAGACTATTTTGTCAGATATAAGTATTGCTACCCTAGCTTTTTCTTACATTCCATTTGTATGAAATGTCTTTTTCTATCCCTTTACTTTCAGTCTGTGGGTATCTTTTTATCTGAGGTGGGTCTCTTGGAGGCAGCCAACATATTGGCATTGTTTTCTTATTCATTCAACTACTCTGTGTTTTGGTTGGAGAATTTAAACCATTTACATTTAAGGTGATTATTGATATCTACTTAGTGCCATTTTGTTGTTAAGATTATTTTCCTCTTTTTTTATTTTTTCTTTCTCATTTTCTTCTTAAAGCAAGTCCTTTAACATTTGTTGTGGTACTGGTTTTATGTTAACAAACCCTTTTAGTTTTCCTTTGGGAAGCTCCTTATCTCTTCTTTGATTTTAAACAAAAACCTCTCTGGTAACGTAACCTTGGTTGTAGGTTCTTGCTTTTCATTATCTTATCTTGAATATTTCAAGCCAGTTCCTTCTGGCCTGAAATGTTTCTGTTGAGAAATCAGATGACGGGCAAATGAGAGATTCCCTTGTAGATAACTAAGCACTTCTTTTTCTTTCAGCTTTTAGTATTCTCTCTTGTCTTTAAACTTTGAAATTTTAATTATGACATGACTCTGTGGGTCTCTTTGGGTCCATTTTGTTTGGGACTCTTGAGCTTTCTGGACTTGTGTTTCTTTTTCCTTTACCAGGTTAGGAAAGTTTTCGATCTTTGTTTCTTCAGATAGGTTCTTGATCCCTTGCTTGCTCCCTTCTTGTGTTAGTCACGTGATGTGCATGTTGTTTTGCTTCATGTTCTCCCGAAGGTTTCTTGAACTCTCCTTATTTTTAAAAATTATTTCTTTTTCTTTTTCTGGTCTGCTTGGATTTAAAAAAAAATTATTTATTTATTTTTACAGAGGGGAAGGGAAGGAGAAAGAGAGGGAGAGAAACATCAGTGTGTGGTTGCATCTTGAGCACCCCCTGCTGGTCCACAACCCAGGCATGTGCCCTGATTGGGAATTGAACTGGTGACCTTTTGGTTTACAGCCCAGCACTCAGTCCACTGAGCCACACCAGCCAGGGTGGGCTTTTTTTTTTTTTGCCTTGTCTTCCTAACCACTGATTCTATAATCTGCTTCATCTAATTTATCATTTATTCCTTTCAGTGTATTATTTATTGCAGATATTGCATTCCTTTTTTTCTGACTGGTCCTTTTTAATGGTTTCTATGCCTTTTTCATGCTGTTGAGTGTCCTTATAATTATTTTTCTAAACTCTCTGGTCAAATGCTTGCCTCTATTTCATCTAGTTCTGGAGAATTCTCCTGGTCTTTCATTTGAGGTCTGTTTGTTTGTCTTCCCACTCTGGCCACTTCTTTGTATTTGTTTCTATGTATTAGGTAGACCTTCAAAGACTCTGGCGTAGACCTATCTCAGACACTTTCTGCAACTGGCCCTAGACAACTTGTTTGGAAGTATCAGTGATCCACACAGCCTGTGGCTCCTTCTGCTGGGCCTGCTTGTGAAAAAAACAAGGCTGTGAACAAAGGCTGGCTTTTATCAGCAAACAGTTGGGGAGGGTCAGCTTAAGTCTCAGTACTACCAGAGTTTCGCCTTTGCTTGCAGGTTGTTAGGCTTAATCAGTGTCTCCAGTTGTTCTCCTCAGCAGCAGGGGTTAAACACCACAGAGAGAAGCTAGAGCGATTCCTGTGGGTGGTGCTATTGCTTCCACTCAGGGTGATACCACATGGAAGGGCGTGCTCTGCCTGAGAACGACAGCCTTGGCAATTTGGGGAATGACTCAGCACAGGGATCCTGTTCCTCCAGCTCTCTCTCCAGAGCCCAACTCCAGACTCTCCTCACATGTCTCTAGTTCACTCTGCCCTCCCTCCGCTGGTGTCCAGGGTAAGTGGCTGCAAACAGAATTTTGTGCACTGGGCCTTTATGAGGCTTTCTCTGTCTCTAGCCATCTCTCCTTGGTGGACAGAAACCCTGCTGCTTTTCACAACCGTATGCTATTTGGATGCATTTCCTGGTTCTGGTGCTATAGTCTGGGGGGGGTCCGGCTAGGGGTTTAGACCCCACACTTCTCAAGGAGAACCCCTGGCCACTGAAATATCCCTCTAAGACTTTACCTGCTGCCCATAGGAGCCCAGTAAGCTCTCCTGTGCCTCCTCCACATTCCCTACCAGTCTCCTGATGATGATGTTGCTTCTTCCATTTGTCTGTGTTTATAAAGTTTCTATCCAGCTAGTGTTCAGTTGGTCATTCAGGATGACTTTTCTAGAATATAATTGTAATTCTAGTTTGGTTGGGAGGAGGTTAGTGTAGTTTCCCCTTACTCTACCATCTTGGGTTTTCCTATATTTTTAGTACCAAGTTTAGGGGGCATTTGGGTTGCTTCCATTTCTTGGGTATTTTATTTTACTTAATTTTTTTTAACATCAATGTGTGGTTGCCTCTCTAGTGCCCTCTACTGGGGACCTGTCCTGGAACCCAGGCACGTGCCCTGACTTGCAATGCAACCAGCAGCCCTTTGGTTTGCAGGCCTGCTCTCAATCCGCTGAGCCACTCCAGCCAGGGCATATCTTGGCTCTTTTAAATCAGGGGTCCCCAGCCCCTGGGCCATGGACCAGTAGCAGTCCATGGCCTGGTAGGAACCAGGACACACAATAGGAGGTGAGCAGCTGGCAAGCAAGTGAAGCTTTGCTTGCATTACCCCCTGAGCTTGGCCTTCTATGTCTCCCTCACCATCTGTGGAAGAATTGTCTTCCTCAGAACTGGTCCCTGGTGCCAAACAGTTTTGCGACTGCTATTTTAAATAATGTTGTAATTAACCCTGGTGTGCCTCAGTGGATTGAGTGCTGGCCTGGTAACAAAAGGGTCACTTGTTCTATTCCCAGTCAGGGCACATGCCTGGGTTGCAGGCCAGGTCCCCAGTAGGGGGTATGTGAGAGGTAATCACACATTGATGTTTCTCTCCCTCTCTTTCTCCCACCCTTCCCCTCTGTCTAAAAATAAATAAATAAAATCTTTTAAAAATAATGTAATGAACATACAATGTAGATATCTTTTTGAATTAGTGCTCTGGATTACTTTGTATATATACTCAGAAGTGGAATTGCTGGGTCAGAAAGACACTCCACACTTTTCCACAGTGGCTGCACCAGTCTGCACTCCCCCCTAAAGTGCACCAGGGCTCCCCTTTCTCCACATTCTTGCGGAGCCTTGTTTGTTAACTTATTGATGGTAGTCATCTCACAGGTATGATGTGGCATTTCATTGTGGTTCTAATTTGCATTTCTTTCATGAATTTTGATGTTGAATATTTTTAAACATGTCTGTTGGCCATCTGTATGTCCCTTTTGGAGAAGTGTCTATTCAGGTCATCTGCCCATTTTTATAAATTGGTTGGTTTGTTTGTTTTTGGTGTGGAATTGCAGGCCTCAATTTAATGTCATTTATAAGAGGCCATTGGAGGCATCCTGTTTAAATTAGGTCCCCTGGTTTTAGTCTTTGTGACCAGCATCTTTGCTCCATAGCACTGCTCTTTCAGTGAGAATATAGTTCTATATTAGTTTTCAGTTGTAATGTTCCTTTTCCCCACCTATTTTTCAGAACCTGGCAGAGCACCTTTGCTTCTAGTATGTGCTTGTACTTAAAAAAACAAACAAACAAAAAACAAATGAATGACTAAATAAAGTGACTTTTAAACTGAGACCACAAGGATTTCTAGGCCTTAGGTAGGGAAAGGGTATGTACAGAAAGGGGACACGGGGAAGAGCTTTCTGCATAGAGCTTCTGTAAACTTTCAGGGAGGGACAGGCCATATGGAATGAATGTCACGAATACTGGATTAGAAATTTACCTTACCCTGTTTTGTAAGACATATGAAAATTCATATATGTATAAATTTTTGTAAAGAAAAACAATTTCTTTATTTAGTTATTAAGCCAAGAGCCTTAGAGGTGGAGAAAAGTGAGCTAGATGAATATCTTAGTGAACTTAGTATTGGGGTGACTCTGTTACGTGCAGGTGTTGGATAAGGTGACTCGCGCCCTGTGATGCTCTGGGTCCGAGAATGCAGAAAGTCAACTCAGGACCAGTGGGCTGCTGATGGAATCTGTTACTTTGTTGAATAAAGGAAAACAAATCATTTTAGAAAGTGTATTATGTTTTGAATCCCAATGTTTTTCTATGCCTTTTTGTGAGTAAAGGTGTTAGTAAATTTGTATTAACCTACAAATAATCATTGACTAATCACAGTTTTAAGGACACATATTTTGATAAAGAAATGTGACAAAAAGTCTCACCAGCCTATTGTTATCAGGAGGTACCTTTTGCTAAAATATTTCACTTCCCAGCTACCTCCAAACCTGAAAGATCTATTCCTCACAGTGAAGTCATCATAAAAGAGCACACAGATTTGAAGGCCAGTTAGTCCTGGATCTAAATCCTAAGCACGTTACTTACTGTGGAAACTGTGTAAAATTTTTTAACAGCTTGATGGAGGTATACTTTACATACCACAGAATCTACTCATTTTAAGTGTACAATTCAATGAGCTTTTTAACAAGTGAATTTATAATTATGAAGTAATTACCACAACACAATTTAACAGCATTCCTATCAACCATGCCCCTCCCTACTCAAAGCTCCTTTCTGCCCATTTTCAGTCAATCCCCGTCTCCCAGGCCCAGGTAGACACTAATCACATTTTTTTTTTGTCTATAGGCATGCTTTTCCTGAGCATTTCAAATAGATAGAACCCTATAATTTGTAACCACTTTCTTTCATTAGGTTAATCAGTTTAAGTAGTTTGTTTCTTTTTATTGCAGACTAGAATTCTAACATACAGACACATCACATATTTGTCAGTTACCGGTTCATGACCATTTGAAATTTTCCACTGTTGGCAGTCATGAAAAATGCCCCTATAAACATTTATGGGGGAGTCTTTGTGTGGACACATGTTTCCATTTCTCAGGGGTAAATACTTGGAAGCAGAAATCTAAGGTTGTAGGGTGTTTAATTTTTAAAGAAACTTCCGAACTGTTTTTCAAAGTGGCTGCAGTTGAGTTTTTCTTTATCCTCTACGATACTTGTTAATGTCTGTCTTTTTTGTTATAGCCATCCTACTGGGTGTGAAATGACTTTAATTTGCGTTTCCCTAATGGCCAATTAACTTTTTTCATGTTTATCCACCATTCATATATTTTCTTTTTAAAAAGATTTTACTTATTTATTTATTTTTTTTAGAGAGAGGTGAAAAGAGGGACAAAGAGAGGAAGAAAGACATCAACATGAGAGAGAAACATTGATTGGTTGCCTCTGATACATGAGCTGACCTGGGACTGAACCCACAGCCCAGGTATGTGCCCTTACTGGGAATTGAACTGGCGACCTTTCATTCTGTGGGACAATGCCTGACTGAGACACACCAGTCAGGGCTTGTGCATTTTTGAATTGGCCTATTTCTCTCCTTCTTATTGAGTTGCAAGTGTCTTAAAAACGGATATATATATATGCACACACACACACACATACCTACACACACATCCTTTTATATATTATATAAAAACATTTTCTCTCAATTCCCGGTTTATCTTATAACTCTCTTAGGGGTGGCTTTGAACTGCAATGTTTTAAAGTTTGATATTCAATTACCATTTTTTTCTTTACAAATCATGATTTTGGTATTGAATCTAAAAAATCTTTGCCTACCCAAAGTCATGAAAACTTTCTCAAATATTTTCTTGTAAGTGTTTTAGTTTCTTTATGTGTATTAGACTTATGTCTAAGGCTTAGATCCATTATGAGTTAATTGTTTTGAAATGTGTGAATTAATAGTCTAAGTTTATTGTTTTTCATGAGGATATGCTGTTTTTGAGATTGTTCTATCCCCATGGAATTGTTTTGGCATCTTGGTCTAAAACCAACTGACCATAAATTTAATGGTATATTCTTGGGCTTTCAACTGAATTCAATTGATCTTTGTGTTTCTCCTCATGCCAACCACTCAACCTTAATTACTGTAGCTATATAGAAAATTTTGAAATAGAATAGTGTGAATTTTGTTCTTTTTTCAAGATATTTTTGGCTATTCTATATTCTCTGCATTTCTGTATAAGTTTTAGGATCAACTTGTGAAAGTCAATAAAAAAAGGTTGCTGGAATTTTGATCAGGATTATGTTGACTTTATTAAGACGAATATACACATTTTGTTCTTAATTCTATTAAGATGATAATCACTTTAATAACTATTTAAATACCAAACTAACCTTGCATTCCAGGTTTTAAATGCCATTTAGTCATGGTGCTTTGTCTCATTTGTATGTTCCTGGATTTGGTTTGCTAACATATTGTTGAGCACTTTTGTGTGAAGAATATTGGTTTGTAATTTTGTTGTGATATCTTTGTCTGTCTTTGGCATCATGATAATATTGGTTTCATAGAATGAGTTGGAAGGTATTCTCTTCTCTGTTTACAGGAAGAGTTTGGGAAGAATTGATATCCTTTCTTTTTTAAATGTTTGTTAGAATTCATCAGTGAAGCCATTTAGGCTGGAGCTTCATTTTTATGGGAAGATTTCAATTACTAATTCAATTTCTTTATTTGTTGTAGGTATATTTAGATTATTTGTTTTATTTTAGTCAATTCCATTAACAGTAATTTTGTCTTTTTTACATATATATTTTTAGGAATTTTCCCATTTTAGTTGTCCAGTTTGTTGGCCTAGAGTTGTTGAAAGTATGATCATTTTAATTTCTGTAAAATCATTAGTAATGCCCCCTTTTTCATTATTAATTTTGGTAACTTCTGTTTTCTCTTTTTCTTGGTCAGCTTTTATTCATTTCCAACATGGAGATGATGTTCATCTCAAAGAATGAGCTGTATTATTTCCATTTCTGTTTTAGGAAAGAATTTGTGAGCAGTTGTATTATTATTTAAGCATTTGGTCAAACTTACCAGTGAAGCCATGTCGGTCTGACCCTTATTTTGTGGGAAGATTTTTTCCTGTGTTATTATTTTGATCTAAAAAAAATTATTTATTGAGCCTTGTCTGGTGTGGCTTGGTGGATTGGGTGCTGACCTGCAAACCAAGGGGTCACTGGTTTGACTCCCAGTCAGGGCACATGCCAGTTGGGGGCAAGCAAGAGGCAACTGCACATTGATGTTTCCCTCCCTCTCTTTCTCTCTCCTTTCCCCTCTCTCTAAAAATAAATAAATAAAATCTTTCAAAAGTTATTTGTTTATTTTTTGAGAGAGAGAGAGAGAGATATCAATTTGTTGTTCCACCTATTTATGCATTCGTTGGTTGAGTCTTGTATGCACCCTGACTGAAAAATCAAACCTTTGACATTGGCATATTGGGATAATTCTCTAACCAACTGAGTACCCAACCATAGCCTATTTTTTATTTTTCAGTTACAGTTGACATTCAATATTTTATTAGTTTCAGTTGTACAGCATAGCGATTAAAATTTATATAACTTCTTTGTATATTTTGGAGATTAAACCTTTGTCTGAGGAATCATTGGCAAAAACAGCATGGAATTTTCTCAGAAAACTAAAAATGGACCTTCCTTTTGACCCAGCAATTCCACTGCTGGGATTATATTCTAAGAACCTTAAAACACCAGTCCAAAAGAATCTATGCACCCCAATGTTCATAGCAGCACAATTTACAATAGCCAAGAGCTGGAAGCAACCTAGGTGCCCGTCAGTAAATGAATGGAAACTATGGTACATTTACACAATGGAATTCTATGCAGCAGAGAGAAAGAAGGAGCTCCTACTCTTTGCAACAACATGGATAGAACTGGAAAGCATTATGCTGTGTGAAATAGGCCAGGTGTTGAAAGGCAAATACCATATGATCTCACTTTTAACAGGAAGCTAAACAACAAAACAAAAAAGCAAGCAAAATATGACCAAAGACACTGAAATAGAGAACAGGGGGACAGCAACCAGAGGGGAGAGGGGAGGGAATTTCAGGGGAAAAGGGGAAGGATTTACAGGAACTAGTGTAAAGGACACATGGACAACAGCTAAGGGGGGTGGAAATGGGAGGGAGGTGGGGAGCACGGTGGGGGCTGGGATGGGAGTAAAAGACAGAAAACTGTACTTGAAAAATAATTAAATAAAAAAATTTTGCGTAAAAAATCTATATAACTTACAAGTTGGTCTCCGTGATGAATCTAGGGTCCACCTGACACCATACATAGTTATTACAATATTACTGACTATATTCCACATGCTGTACTTTACATCCCACAACTATTTTGTAACTGGCAATTTGTGTTTCTTAATTTTTTCCCCTTTTTCACTCGGCTTCCCAACACTCCTTTCATCTGGCAGCCATCGGTTTGTTCTTTGTATCTATGAGTTTGTTTCTATTTTTGTGTGTGTGTTCATTTTTTAAAAATTCCATATGAGTGAAATCATATGGTAGTTGTCTTTCTTTTTTTGACTTACTTGCCCTAGAATAATACCCTCTAAGATCCATCCATATTGTCATAAATGGCAAGATTTCATTCTTTTTATGGCCGATATTCCGTTATATGTATGTACCACCTCTTCTTTATCCATTTATTTATTGATGGACATTTAGATAGCATCCGTGTCTTGACTATTGTAAATAATGCAGCAATGAACATAAGGATGCATATATCTTTTCAAATTACTGTTCTAGATTTCTTTGGATAAATACCCAGAAGTGAGACTTTTGGGTCAAATCATAATATTTTGAAGACCCTCTGTATTATTTTCCATAGTGGTTGTGCCAGTTTGCAGTCCCACCAATGATATATGAGGGCTTCATTTTTTCCACATTCTTGCCAACACTTGTTTGTTGATTTTTTTGATGGTAGTCATTCTGACAGGTAGGAAGTAATATTTCATCATAGTTTTAATTTGCAGTTCTTTGGTGAATAATGATGAGGATCTTTTCATATGTCTATTGGCCATCTGTATGTCCTCTTTGGAAAAGTGTCTTTCAAATCTTCTCCCTATTTTTTAATCAGATTGTTCTTTTTTATGTTGAGCTATGTGAATTCTTTATAAATTTTGTGTATTAACCCCTTATCAGATGTATCATTGGCAAACATCTTTTCCTATTCAAGAGATCGTCTTTTCACTTTGCTGATGGTTTCCTTTTTTGTATAATACTTTTTTATATTGATATAATCCCATTCATTTATTTTTTCTGTTTCTCTGGCCTGAGGAGACATATTCAAAAAAGTCTTACCTAGAGTGATGTCAAAGAGTTAACTGCCTATGATTTTTTTCTATGAGTTTTATGGTTTCGAGTCTTACATTTAAGTCTTTAACCCATTCTGAGTTTATTCTTATAGATAATGTAAAAAAGTGGTCTAGCTATATGTTTTTTGCATATGTCTTTTATTATTTCCAATGCCACTTATTAAATATACTGTTTTTACCCCATTGTATGTTCTTGCTTCCTTGGTCATATATCAATAGACCATATAGGTGTGGATTTATTTCCATTTTTCCATTGATCTATGTGTCTGTTTTTATTCCAGTACCATGCTATCTTGATTACTATATTCTTGTAGTACAGTTTGTTACCTAATATAGATATGAGGTAACATGATACCACCAACTTTTCTTCTTTCTCAAGATTGCTGTGGCTATTTGGAATCCTTTGTGGTTTTACATACATTTTGGATCCTTTGTTCTAGTTCTGTGAAAAATGCCATTGGTATTTTGAATGGGATTGTATTGAATCTGTCTACTGCTTTGAGTAGTATGGACATTTTAACAATGTTGATTTTTCCTATTCATGAGCATGGTCTATGTTCTCATTTAAATATATTTTCTTTAGTCTCTTTCTTTAATGTCATAGTTTTCTGAGTATGTCTTTTATCTCTTTGATTAAATTTATTTATTTTTTGATGTGATTATAAATGGAATTATTTTCTCAATTTGTCTTTTGGTACTTCATTATTGGTGTACAAAAATCAACTGATTTCTGAATATTTATTTTGTTTTCTGCTACTTTACCAAATTCCTTTATCAGTGCTAACAGTTTCTTGGTGTAATATTTTGAGTTCTCTATATAGTATCATGTCATCTGCACATAATAACAGCTTTATTTCTTTCTTTCTAATTTTGATGACTTCCTTCCTTCCTTCCTTCCTTCCTTCCTTCCTTCCTTCCTTCCTTCCTTCCTTCCTCCCTTCCTTCCTTTTTGCCTGATTTCTGTGGTTAGGACTTCCAGAACTATGTAGAATAAAAGTGGTAAAAGTGGACATCTGTTTTTTGCTCCTGATCTTAAGGAACCATGAGGA